TCTGGCTTTTCCTGGCCCATTTCTTATGTCTCCACAATCTGGCTCCATGGATTTCTGGGCCTTTGCTCAGGATGTGCTTCTTCCTGCTCTAAGTGTGGAATACTGACACCTCCTTTACACTCAGTTCAAAACATCATGTCCTTGCCAACTTCTTCCCCAAAGGGAATGTTCCTGGGGAACTTTGCTGGCTCTCTCACTGTAGCACTGATTGCCTTCTGCATTGTAATGTGTGCATCCCCCCAGTTAGAGATCCTTGAGGGCAGGGAGCAGAAAGATCATATCATGTCTTACTGTTTTAGTATTCCCAATGCAGTGCTTTGCACATAGTAATAAATCTATGACTTATTTTTCCATGAATAAAAAAATGAATTGCCCAGGTACCTTCCAGATCAAAATTCAGTCAAATTCACTCAATGAATGCCTGAAGAATCCAGGTCAGTAACAGGCAGAACAGCAGCAAGGGAGCCAGCTACTTGGAAAGACCATGGGCTAGGGGCAAGACAAGTTGCATTTGGTACCAGCTTTGCCACTTCCTAGTTGATGGCCTTGGGAACAGTACTTAAACTCATTGAGCCTTAGTTTTTAACCTGTAAAATGGGAATTATCACTGGAGCTGATCTCTAGGTTTGCTGTAACAATAAAATGAGATAATGCACCAAAAGACCTTAACATAGTGACCAGCACATAGTAACCAACATCTGATGGCCAACCATCTTTATGTGTCAGACACTGTAACATGCTGAAAATACAGTGAGGAACAAAACCACACTACTGTCCTGGTATGAGGGTTATGTAAAGGTGAGACCAGAAAAGCCAACAGTTACAAAATAATGGCTGCCACAGAGTTAAGGATAGGAAGGAGCAGGACAAAGAGGAAGAAGGACTAACTTAGTCCAGAAGTGTCACACTACTCATTGGGTAATCCGCTGCTATTTCTCTCCAAAAGTACTAAACTCAGTACTCAGTTGTGGCAAGTTCAAGGCTACAACTGAGCTGACCAGGGCCCCCAGAATCTCTGATTGTGTGTTTCATAAAACTTTAACCCAACATTGACTGACCCAGAGGTAATTTAGAAAGCTTTCAGAAGATTTCAAAGCATTTACCACAGATGGTTGGCCTGTAAACATTACAAGCATTCTTGGACAGCTAAATTAGAGACAGCAAGGGGCTACAGTGACTTGCAGAGATATCCTCCATGAGACAGTAGGAAACTCTTGTATTTTGACTCTTGGGATGGTCCACACTGTTTTTCTTGTTAAGCAAACAAACAGTTGTAATTTCAACCCTGAGCATTTTTGCATCTTATTTTTCTAAATACCACATGAAAAAGTTCCACAGTTCCTCGGAGGAATGGCCGATTCCAGGGCTGAGGCAGTAATACAAGATGAGCCTGGAATATCACATTATGACAGAAAGTGCTCAAAAAAAATAGGGGCATGTCAAAAGACACAGCAAACATCCAGAAAGGGTTCCCACTGACCAAATCTGGGACAGCAGTGAATTGTAATCCACTGAATAAAAGAAAAATCCATGAGTCAATACTGAAAATAACAAGGAGATAAGTAAAGAAAACACAAATGGGGCAAAAAAGATATAACAACCCAAATGTCCATCAATGAATGAAAAGATTTTTTAAATTACAATTTATACATATAATGGAATATTATTCAGCCTTAAAAAGGAAGGAAATTCTGACACATGACACAACATGAATGAACTTTAAAGACACTATGTTTAGTGAAATAAACCAGTCATCAAAGGAAAAATACTGTAGGATTCCACTTACATGAGATACCCAGAGCAGTCAAATTCACAGAGACTGAAAGTAGAACGGTGGTTACCAGGGGCTGGGGGATGGAGGAACGTGGAGATAGTGCATAATGGGTACAGAATGCCAGTTAGGGAAGATGTAAAAGTTGTGGAGATGTATGGTGGTCGTGGTTGCACAACAATGTTAATGTACTTAATGCTGCTGAACTGTACACTTAAAAATGGTTAAAAAGGTAAATTTTATGTTATGTATATTATACCACAGTAAAAAAGAGAATGAGCAGCACCAGGATCTACTTCTATGTTCGCATACACAGGTAAAAGTAACTTGTATTCAACTTTTCTTCTACCAACAAAATCTACCTGGCCCTATGTGGCAGGTCAGACACTATACAGAAATCATTTCCAGCAGAAAAATAAACTAAGAGATGGTGGAATCTGGCTGTTTGGAATAAACTGGGTCTAATTTGTTTTATGTATGACTACTTTGATAAGCGTTTTAGAAAATTACATAATTTCCAAAGACAGGTCCATAATATCTTATCTATAATTCTGAAACCTAAGAAAGCTCTGAAAATCAGAATTTTTTTCCTAAGTTTGGTTTAAAAACATATTTGGTAGATAATTCTGAATCTAAGAAAGCTCTGAAAATCAGAATTTTTTTCCTAAGTTTGGTTTAAAAACATATTTGGTAGCAAAACCTGACCTGAACCCACAAGGACCCATGTTTAGCCTTTATCTACCTCACTTTGTGTGAACATTCATATATTTTGCTGCAGAAATATTTCTGTGCTTGATGACAGCACTGCCTGAGTGTCTCCTATGGGTATCATATGTGACATGGTATAGTTGTCATGCCAAAAAGATCTGAAAATTCTGAATTCCAAAAAATCTGGTGCTGAGTTTCAAAGAAGAGATTGTGAATCTCTACAAAATTAACCATATGGGATATTAAATCAATATTTCCCAAGCTTTTGTCATTCTCTCCCAAACTCACAGTTTTGCCATATCTACTTATCACTTGTATTATTACATTCTCTACTACCTGACTTGAGGTTGACTCACCTTTTTCCTTTAAGTGAAATAATTTTTAAAGAAATACCTTATCTCCACTGTAAAGGGTGAGGGTCTGAGAGGTCTGCTGCTAAAGAGGGAGATTCTGAAGGATTAGAGAGGTGTTGAAGACATAGTAGTACCAAACTGAGACCTTTACTTTGAATAATGAGAAAAATCAACAGAAAATTGAAGCAGAAATAATTGCATTGCTACATGATCCAATGTCATCTACTGCTAGGCTGGCATACCATCTCCAAACCTACTGTCCTCAGAAGTATTCAACCTTCTCTTGGGAAACTGGCCTAGATCATGTTGTCATCCTGTCACTCAGGTAATAACTCCACTGGGACAGTAAGGCTTGTTTGGGGGCAGGGTAGACATGATTGTACAAAAGCATAATATAACAGCAAGGAGGGTAAATCTCTTTATCTCCCTTCTAGGTCTGTCACTCATCACCTGCCATGTAGATTCAGCTGGGTCACTCACTGCAACTGTCTACTTATCAAAGTGTCACAAAAGTCTTTTTGAGTATAACTCTTTGGAGCACCCATAGCCTCCATGTGATAAAGGACACCTCAGGATAATAGGATCTAGAAGTGCATACAAACTGACAAACCACAAGATGACAGACTAACAAGACCTCCATTCTTCATTAACTTTAACAGTAGCTACTGGCCTCCAAAATCAGCAGAATAAGATTTATTATAGAAAGAAAATAAGTCAGTCTTCAAAAATACTTTCTAATAGACAGCAGCTATATACATCAATAAAATAAAATAAAATAAAGCAAATGGGGCAGAAGAGAAAGTTTTTCCTTATAGTAAAATGCTGGGAGTTAGAAATGTTGGGAGTTAGAAAGTCTCCATATTGCAACCATTACAAAATTAAAATAATAAGCACACATTGATTAAACCAAGTGATCAAAATTAACGTCGCAAGTAAGGAGCAAACAAATAATCATGAGCCTCAAGGTGTGGCAGATTCAGAAGGACCAATATCACTTCTGGGGTATTCATGAATCTCATCATGAGGAAACAAAGGCAGAGCAAAACTGAAGGAAATACTACAAAATACCCAGCCTATATTGCTTAAAAAGTCATGAAAGACAAAGAAAGGCTGCAAGACTATTCCAAATTAAAGACACATGTCAACCTGGGGCCGGCCCGGTGGCGCACTGCTACAGTGCGCCGCGCTCCCGCCGAGGGTTCGGATCCCACATACAGACCGGTTCCCACTCACTGGCTGAGCGAGGGGCGGGCGCAGCACCGAGGTTTGCGATCCCGTTGCTGGTCCTGGTCCGGTACGGGCGCAACGCTGAGGGTTGCGGTCCGTTGCCGGACACGAAATAAAAAAGACAAAAAGGAAAAAAAATAAAAAAAAGACACATGTCAACTAAATACATAACCCTAAACAGTATCCTATACCAGAAAAAAAGCTATAAAATTTATTGGGACAGAATTGGAATATAGATGGGAGATTAGTAAAATAATTGTATCAAGGTCAAATTTCCTAATCTTGATTATTATAGTTAAGAGAATACCCTTTTTTCCCCCCAGGAAATACAGTTGATCTGTATCAACAGATTCAACCAACTGCAGATTGAAAATATTTGAAAAAATAAAACTATAAAAAATAATACAGATTAAAAAATAATGCAGTATACTATGTACATAACATTTACATTGTATTAGGTATTATACGTAATGTAGAGATGATTTAAAGTATACGGTAGGATATGCAAGGGACTTGAGCATCACCAACTTTAGTATCCACGGGGACGGTGCTGGAACCAACATCCTGCAGATACCAAGGGACGACTGTACATACTTATATATTAAGGAGTATGGAGGCGAAGTGTCTCTAATCTACTCTCAAACAGTTCCGGTGCTGGAACCAACATCCTGCAGATACCAAGGGACGACTATACATACTTATATATTAAGGAGTATGGAGGCGAAGTGTCTCTAATCTACTCTCAAACAGTTCAGAAAAAATATGTGTACATGCAGATGGATAGAATATGATAAATGTTAACAATAGGTGACTATGGCAAAAAGTCACTGGGAGTTCTTTTAGTACTTTTGCAACTTTTCCGGAAACTTGAAATTAGGTCCGAGAAACAACTACTTCCATTGAAGTCACCCACCATACCTCCAGTTTCTGTGTGGACTCACCATTCTTCTGAGAATCCTCAACAGAAGCTTCTGCTCCTTCGGGTCCTCCTTGGATGCCAATACTTCAGCAAAACTTTCCACATTTTCAGGAGACAGGCTGTCCGGGTTTTCCCCTCCATACAGCTGAACCAGTATAGACAGACACTTGGATGAAACCTCAAAAACTTCAGGATCCTCATTAGGAAGCTGAAAATTAACAAACAAGACTATTTAAATTTCATTGAAGGTGGTATTGTCATTCCTCAAGAAATACAGTAAAATTTTGCTTAATGATGGCAGCATCAGTCTGAGTACAATGTTTGATTAATTGAATATTTTTTGAATGCATCTTTTTCAAAATGTATACAATTGCTCAAACAAAGCTAACAGCACAAAATCAGAAGAAGGTCCTGCAGTCCTTTCTTTAATACATAGAAAAGAATGGCTTGCGAAAACGATTACATTGCATAATGTTGAATACACTAATTATCCTGATTTGAGCACCACACATTGCACACACAGGTATTTATATTCAACTCCGTAACCCAGAGATACGTACAATCAATTATGTTTCAATTTTTAAAAAAAGGAAAATATTCATATCGGTAGAGCTATAAGCAATATGAAAATAAAGACTGGTCTATAACTAGCAAAGCATCAACATACACTTTACATACATATCTAATATATGCAAATATATACACTTATAAGGGGATGGTATCACTTGGTGTGGAAATAGATTGATTTTTCAGAGAGACACTCTTTTACATTCTTGTTTACTAGTAACTTGTTTAGGAAAAATCTTCGTCCTAGAAGACGTTAAGGAATACTTTGGCCTCATCTGTGTCCAAATCATTAATGACTAAACAGATGAAAAGGAAAGCATTGTTTCTATATGCATTAAAAAGTATAATATAAAATAATTATACCATAAACATTTCAATCTTTTAATTTTTAAAGTTTACTTTATTTAGAACAGCTTTTTTGATGTATAATTTCTATACTTGTATCATACAATCCACCCAAAGTATACAATTCAGTGGTTTTTAATATATTCTCAGAGTCATGCTACCATCACCACAATCAATTGTAAAATATTTTCAGCACCCCCATAACCCTTTAGTAGTCACCTTGACATCCACCCCTCTGCTTCCCATGCTGATCTCCTTTCTGTCCATAGGGATTTGCCTATTCTGGACATTTCAAATACATGAAATCATACAAAATGTGATCCTTTGTGACTGGCTTCTTTCACTTAGCATGACATTTTCAAGGTTCACCAATGTTGTAGCATGTATCAGTACTTCATTTCTTTCTCTTGCCTAATAACATTCTGTTGGATAATATACCACGTTTTGTTTATCTATTTACCAGCTGATGGATATTTGAGATGTTTTCACTTTTTGGCTATTATGAATAATGCTGCTATGAACATTTGTGAAACAGTTTTTGCGTGGACATGTGTTTTTGTTTCTTTTGGGTCACATGGTAACTCTATGTTTAACCTTTTGATGATCTGCCAGACTGTTTTCCAAAGCTCCCATTCACACCAGCAATGTGTGAGAGTTCTAGTTTCCCCACATCCTCAACAACACTTGTCATTATCTGTCTTTTTATTTACAGCCATCCTAGTAGGTGTGGAATGCTAACACATGCTGGTTATCATTTGTACTTCCCTGATGGCTAATGATGTTGAGTATATTTTCATATGCTTATTGATCATTTGTATATCTTCTTTGGAGAAATGTCTGTGCAGACCCCTTGCCCATTTTTTAAACAAGTCATTTGTCTTTTTATGATTGAGTTCTAAGAGTTCTTCATATATTTTAAATACATGTTCCTTAGCAGATACATGATTTTCAAAATCTTTTTTCTATTAGGTGGGTTGTCTTTTTGCTTTCTTGATATTGTCCATTGGAGCACAAAATAATTTTGATGAAGTCTAATTTATCTGTTTTTTATTGCTTAAGTATATACATGATTTGGGTGACATATCTAAGAAACCATTGCCTACTCTGAGGTCATAAAGATTATGCCTAAGTTTTCTTCTAAGAATTTTATAGTTTTAGCTCTTACACTGAGGTTCTCTGATTCATTTTGCATTAATTTTTGTATATGGTATAAGCAGGGGTCCAACTTCATTCTTCTGTAGGTGAATTAATCTTTTATTTTGAAATAATATTTGCAGGTTCACATGCAGTTATAAGAAACAGTGCAGAGAGATTCCATATATACTTCACCCAGTTTCCCCAATGGAAACATCTTATATAATAACTAGAGTACAATATCCCAACCTGGAAATTAACCTTGATACAATCATCAACCTTATTCCTATTTTATTGATTTTACATGTATTTGTGTGTGTGTGCGTGCATGTGTATTTAGTTCCATGCAATTTTATCATGTGTAGATTTGGTGGAAACCACCATCAAGATACAGAAGAGTTCCATCATCAAGATCCCTTTTATAGTAACAGCCAACCCTCTCCCTCCACCATCCTTAGTCTCTGGCCGCCACAGACCTGTTTGCCATTTTGTCATTTCAAGCTAGTTACATAAATGGAATCACACAGTATGTACGGCTTTATTCATTCAGCATAATTTCACTGAGATCCATCCAAGTTTTTGTGTGTACCAATAGCTCTTTTCTTTTTTTTGGGGGGGGGGAGGCTGGCAGGTAAGGGGATCTGAACCCATGACCTTGGTGTTATAACTCCACGTTCTAACCAACTGAGCTAACCGGCTGATAGTTCATTTCTTTTTATTACTGAGTAGTGTTCTGTGGTATAGATGCACCACAGTTTAACCGCTCCATATTAAAGGAAATTTGAGTTGTTTCTAATTTGGAGCTATCCCAAATAAAACTACTGTGAACATTTGTACTGGTTTTTGTGCGCACATAAGCTTTCATTCCGCTGTGATAAATGCCCAAGAGTCAATTGTTGTGTTGTGTGGGAAACTCACATTTAGTTCCTTAAGAAACTGCCAATCTGTTTTCCACGGTGTCTGTACCATTTTACCATTTTACATTCCTGACACCAATGTACAAGAGATCCAGTTTCTCCTTATCTTCAGTAGCATTTGGTGTTATCACTATTTTTTATTTTAGTCATTCCAAAATGCAGATGGTGATACCTCACTGTAGTTTTAATTTGTATGTCCCTAGTGGCAACTGACAGTGAACATCTTTTCATCTATTCATATTTTTCCCTTTGCTAATTAGCTGTTTCTTTATTGTTGATATTTTAAAGTTATTTAAATATTCTAGATATAACTACTTTCTCAGATATGTGGTTTGTAAATATTTTCTCTCAGTCTGTAGCTTATCTTTTCATTCACTTCACTGAGTCTTTTGCAGAGAAAAAAATTTTAATTTTGATGAAGTCCAATTTATTGATATTATCTCTTAAGGACCACGCTTTTGGCGTCAACTCTAAAAACTTTGCAAACTGTTACACTTGAAGATTTTCTTATATATTATTTGCAGAGAAAAAAATTTTAATTTTGATGAAGTCCAATTTATTGATATTATCTCTTAAGGACCATGCTTTTGGCGTCAACTCTAAAAACTTTGCAAACTGTTACACTTGAAGATTTTCTTATATATTTTTTCTAAAGGTTTTATATTTTATTTTTAATTAATTTAATTTTGGGTTAACTTTTATAAAAAGTATAAGGTTTAGGTAAATGTTCTTATTTTTGGCCATTGAATGTCCAACTGTTCTAGCACTATTTTTTTGTTTAATTCTTAATTGTACATATTTACAGGGTACAATGTGTTGTTTCAGTAGATGCATATATCACACAATTATCCACTTAGGGTACACAGCACCCACTACCTAAACATGTATCTTTTCTTTGTGGTGATTACAGTCAAGATATTTTTTTCTAGCTATTTAGAAATATACAATAGACTATTATTAGCTCTAGTCATCTTGGATGTGTTTTGGAATTTTTTAAAGAACTGGTCTATTTCTTCTAAATTATAGAACTTATGAGCATAAAATTTTTCAAAGTATTCCCTTATTATCCTTTTAATGGTTGCAGATATATATTGACACCTGTTTCACTCCTCATATTGGTGATTTCTACCTTCTGTCTTCCTATCTTTATCAGTTTGCTAGAGGTTTTTCAGTTTTATTGATTTTTTTTCCCCAAAGAGTCAACTTTTTGTTTCATTGATTTTTCTCTATTGTTTTTCTGTTTTCAATTTCATTGATTTCTGGCTTTATCTTTATAGTTTCTTCCTTTTTGCTTGCTTTGAGTTAATTTTGCTGTTCTTTTTCTAGTTTCTGGATGTGGGGACTTAAATTATTAATTGAAGACCTCTTCTCTTCTAACATAAGCTTTTGGTGCTACACATTTTTCTCTCAGAACTGCTTTCAGCTGTACCCTACATATTTTGATATATTTTCATTTTCACTCATTTATATGCATTCAAAAAATTCTCCTTTGAGACTTCCTCTTTGACCCATGAATTATTTATAAGTGTGTTTACTTTTTAAGTGTTGGAAATTTTCCTATAGTCCTTCTTTTATTGATTTCTAGTTTGATTCTATTGTCAGAGAACACACTCTATTATTTCAATTTTTTTTACATCTGTTGAAGTTTTTTTATGGCTGTGGATGCAGACTATATTGGTGAGTGTTCCATGGGCACTAGAAAAAAATGCGTATTCTGCTGTTGTTGGGTGGAGTGTTCTGTATATGTTAATTAAATCCTGTTGGTTGATGGTACTGTTGAATTTTTTGATATTCTTGGTGATTTTCTGTCTAGTTCTATCAGTTGCTGAAAGTGGGGTCTGGAGTCCCCAACTATAATTATTAATTTGTCTATTTATATTTTTAGTTCTTTTTTTTTTTTTTTGTTTTGCACCACACACCTTGAGGTTGTGTTGTGTGGTGTGCATACATTAAAAATAGTTATGTACTTCAGTGGATTGATCTTTTTATCATTATGAGTGTCCCTCTCTGTTTCTAGTAATTTTCCTTGCTCTGAAGTGTACTTTTTCTGATATTGACATGGCCACTCCTGCTTTTTTAAAATTAATATTTGCATGATACATATTTACATGATTAAATTAACATTATCACAGGCACTGTCCCTGTGTGCCTGTGTCTTTACCTGGCCATCTTCTTATAAGGACACCAGTCATATTGGATTATGGGTACACCCTAGTCAACTATCACCTCATGTTAACTAATTACA